GAGCTGCGTTTGCCATCTCTGCAGGTCTGAGTGGACCACAGCCCCAGGGTCTGCTCCTTCAGCCCCTGCCCCCCAGCTTCCCTTGAACCAAAACCAGTCACTCCAGGGTCACCTGCTAGCCAAGACGGCTCCTCCCCACTGCCTCAAGCCTAGGGCAGTGGACATAACTGCAGAGGCTGGAGGATAGGGCTGGTCCCCAAAGTCCCCCAGGGAGGGGTGGCCAGTCTCCTGGGAAGTGCACCATTGTTTGTCCCGTGAGTTCCCAGCTTCAAGTAGGGGCCGCCTCTCTGGCCACTGAGGCGGGCTGGTTTGAGCTGAAAGATAAGGATAGGGAGACAGAGGGGGCTGGGATAGCTGGTTTGGGCAAGAAAGGTGCAGGGGAGATTCAGTGACTAACCAGAGACGGCAGGGGCCACGGCACATGAGGGCCGTGGAGGATCTGGGAGCAGGCGAGCCTCCGGGCAATAGCAGAAGCCCCGCAGCAGAGGCCGCAGTCAGCCCAGCCCTCGGTGGGGAGGCCACACACTCAAGGGCGTTGTCACAAAGCACCGCGGACAGGTGGCTTGAACAACAGAAATGGATCGTCTCATCTCCCGGTCCTGGAGGCCAGAAGTCCAGACCGAGGTGTCGGCAGGGCCGGTGCCATCTGAAGGGGTGAGGGAGCCTCTCAGAGGTCCAGCTGCTGGCGGTGGGTGTGCCGGCAGTCTGTGGGGTTCCTTCCACCCCTCTCTGCCTTCGTGCTCATGCAGCCTTCTCCCTGCCTGTCCGTGTCCGAATGTCCCCTTTTTATAAGGACACCAGTCGGACAGGATTAGGACCCACCCTGATGACCTCATCTTGACTACATCTGCAAAGACCCTATTTCCAAATCCAGTCACACCCTGAGGTCCTGGGGTTAGGACGGCAACATATGAATTTGGGGACGACAACTCGGCCCTAACAGGTGTCTGGGGATGTGAAAAGAGACGATGCACCCAGGGCAGGCAGGCGGGGCAGGCTCCGGCGGGCCGCGCACTGAGCCCTGGTGATGGCCCTGGAGGTGGTGGGGGAGATGGGGTGGGGGGGTGATCACAGTTCCACCCTGAAAGGTCTGTGTGGGTGACGGGTCAGGATGGATCCTCCACGCTTGGCGGAGCAGGCGGAGCAGGTGATCAGGGCCCCATCGCTCCCGGGAGCTGGGCCCTCACCCACCCCCGGCCCCCCCACCCTCCCCCCCCACCTCCACCCCCTCATGTCCTGGGCTAGAGGGCTCTGCTCATCGCCTAAGGTCAAGGCGGGGCACAGGCTCTTGGGTGCAGCCAAGTTCTCCGCCAGAGGGACTTCCTGTCCTGGGGTCAGTTGGATGGGGGGGTCCCGTGGTGTATTCTCAGGGCCTGTCTAGAGATCCCGGGGGATTGAGGGAAGTCCGATATCAAGAACTCCTGATTGCAGCTCAGCCCCAGCCCTGGTGAGCTTCTTAAGCCCCACTGTCATCAGGTCTGCATAGAAGGCCAAGCGGCATTTCCAGGGCAGATCGGAGATTATTTCCTCCAAGCTCTCCCAGCATCCTGCCCCTTGCTGTGATCCGCCAGGAGAAGCAGGTCTGTTGGGAGGGCATGGGGTGGGATCCTGCCCACGGGACTGGCAGCGAGACAACACTTTCCGTGCCTGTCACTGCTGGTGCGGCCATCAGGAGCTCAGGTGGGAAGGCAGCTTCTGAGAAAGGATGGGCCAGGGCACCTCAGATAATGGAGGAGCCAGGCTGGGGGAGAGTGACTGTGCATGTGGACCGGCCCTCGGAGGAGGGTGATCCTGGAGGCTGCCGGGCCCTGGGTGCACGTTAGCTCTTCCAGTCCTCACGGCAACTCCAGGAAGCAGGACCCGCATCACCCACATTTCATCGACCAGGCAGCTGGAGCACAGAGAGGTTGTGTGGGCCACTCCAGGTCACCCAGCAAGTAGGTGGTGCCAGGATACGAGCTGGGCTGTTGGTGCAGAGCTGCCAGGGGGCCTGAAGGAGCTGGATGACGCTGGGAGTCACTGAGGCCCTCAGCCCCTGTGCTCGTTGCTCTGTCTCCACAGCCCCTCCAGGCACTGATGGCCCGGCAGATGCCCTCACCCAGCAGCCCTAGGGCCTGAGAACCCACCACGAGCGTTTCATTCCTTTGGAGAACCTTTCCCCAAAACACAGACCCTAAGTCACAGTGTCTCTGACACTTCAGACAAAACATTCCAGCCCCCCACCCCTCTCCAGGCACAGGAACAAACCTTGGCCAGGGTCCCGGGAGGACAACGTCCAGCTACCAAGAACACACAGACACAGAAGGTTCGGAGGACCAGAGTTCTAGGAAGTTGGGCTCAAGGCCGCAGGGGTCAACAGGCAGCAGTGGGGCAGCAGGACAACTATATGGAGGTCAGAGGTCAAGTCCATCCCCATCCCACCCCCGCCTCCTCAACCCATGGCCTGGTTGCTAGGTGCCCCCCAGCCCACCTGCCATCAGGAGCCCAGGTCTGGCCCAGCTCCTCCATTTACCAGCGGCTCAGCCCTGTGCAGTCGCCGGGTCTCCCGAGCGTCAGAGTGCTGGGTGACGGGATTAAGGAAGGGAACATGGAGCCCTGCCCAGCGCCTGCACTTGGGACCCACGATGAGCAGGGCCCTGGAACACGCTCCTTGAGCTTTCAGGCTTCGCTCCATCTCGCTCCCCACACCCAATCCCCTGCAGGGGCGCCTGCTCCCTCTCTCCACCCGGCGCTGTTGTCTCAGGTGGTGCTCAGAGCACCTGAAATTCCATTTGTTCGTTGACTTGTGTGTCACCCAGCTCCCCGGTGAGAACGTAAGTGTCGGGAGGGCGGGGATGCACCATCCACCAGCATTACCCCTGTACCGCCTCACGTTTAGTGCGCGCTCAGAGCAAAAGTGTTGATGGAATGACTGAATGAGTGAAAGAATGAGTGACTTCGTGAGCAGGCTGTTCCAGCATGCTTACAGGAGAAGAGAGAGGAGAGAGCTCTGCCATGGCTCAGAGCTGGTGTTCCAGGTCTTTCTCGGAGCCACCAGCATAGCTGGGGTCTGGCTGAGCTGAGCTGTTTGCTTCTGCCCTTAGAAGCTCAGGGACAACAGACTCCTCTCCTGGTGGAACTGTCACTCTTTGCCTCCATCCAGCTTCTTTACTTCCTAAACTCACCTGGTTTCCTAATGACACTCCAAGAACATCGGTGAAAAGCAGAGGCACTAGAAATCACTTTGCAAAGACCACCACCGTTGCTCAGAATTAAGTAGATTTCTCTCCGAAGGCCCCTGCTAGTACCATCCTGCCCCTGGCCGGGAGGGAGGCCGCACCCCCAGGGCAGTGTAGGGTGGCCGACCATCCAGTTTGCCTGTTCCGGGCTGAAGGGGTTCCCAAGACACGGGAAAGCCGGGGGAAATGGACGAGCTGGCCACCGCAGAGGGGAGACTGCAGAGCGTGTCCCACTGTGAGTCCCCCCGCTGGACGCCCAGCGTCGCTGCCTGGAAATGCCATTCAGGGTGAACACACCGCTCACCTGTGTGCGTGTCATCAGTGCAGGGAGCCGGGCACCTCTCATCGGGGTCTGGTTACTGGGGTGTTAGATTTGTGAGAATTTACCATGCCTGTTGATGTCTCTGTGGCTACACTGTCCTTTAGAGGTTTTTAAAGAACCCATAGCAGGAAAAGGGAGTATAGCAGGATGGTGACAGGCGATCACTGGGGTAGGGGGACAGGGATTTGGGTGCTTCTTATTTGATCTTTACAATCAAGATGGTTTTCTTCCTTCAAAGACAGTGCATGGAGTAGTTATGAACCTTGCCATCCTGTGGGTTCATTCTCTCTGCCGCCCTTGGGTGTCTGGCACTCACACCAGGAGCTGGGGGACTGCAGGTACAGAGCCCACGTGGAGGGGTTCATTTCAGCGGGTAGGAGGGCTGGGTCCAAAACACCTGTGATCAAGGGAGGTGCACGGGGTAAAGCTCTCTTTCCCCCCAATTCTTATGCTCTCGCCCACCTGGTCCGTCTTCGTGGCTCTGATTTGGCAGTGGTGGTGGGACAGTGGACAGAGCAGGTCTGCAGCTTCGCTGACCTTGATGAGGCACAGAGTGCATTGGAGATTGAGGCCCAGCCTCTGCTCTGCCTGCGGCACGTCACCTTGGGTCCATTTCTGTGCCAACCACGTTCACCACGGTGAGGGCAAATGGAGGTAAAAGGGGAGGTGAGGGGCTCTGAAAGGTGCCAAGAGCTCCGTGAACGCCGAGGTGGCCGCGGTGGAGGCAGCATCTGGGGTCCCTGGAGCACGGGTGGGCGCAGTTATCCCACCATGAGAAGGGCGGGGGACTCATGGCTCTTAGCACCTTGTCAGCCAAGCGGTTATGCCTCTTCATGCCTCCAGGGCGGGAGATGAGGAAGGAGGGAAGGAAGGAAGGAAGGAAGGAGGGAGGGAGGGAGCGCCCGCAGGAAATGGGCTGTGTCTGTGATGTATGCTCCCGAAATATGTGAGAAGCAGTTAAGTGCCCTGTTTCTTCCGACCTGTGAAAACAGAAAGCTGTAGGGCTGCAACCCTGGACCCCAGGGATCTCCTGTCGGGCTTTTTGCGCGTAGCTAGTAGCCAGGAAAATTGCTCCCAGGTCTGCCTAAGAACCTCAGGTTAAATAAGAATCGGTCCTGTCCACCAGCAGCTGCAGAGCGCTGCTCGCTTGCTCACTCGGTGGAAAACTGCCACGTGCCAGTTGCAGGACCCCGGCTGCAAGAAGCCCAGCCGCTCCGCGCCTCCACGGCCACGTTAAGTGGCCCACACAGCCAGCCACGTGGCACTCGCTCTTGGTTCCCCGAAAGCACCTTTGATTCCCAGACACAGCGGTCTCCTGACGTCCCTGCATTTGCCCCTTTAGGGGGCAGCACCGTCTCTGCCGTGGGCTGGGCCATGTGCTGGGCCATGTGCTGGGCCATGTGCTGCCTCTCTCTCCTCCCCAGGTCGCCAGCTCACTGACGCCGCCCTGTCTTCCGCAGGTTAACAATGAGAACGTGGTGAAAGTCGGCCACCGGCAGGTGGTGAACATGATCCGCCAGGGAGGGAACCACCTTGTCCTCAAGGTGGTCACGGTGACCAGGAATCTCGACCCGGACGACACCGCCAGGAAGAAAGGTGCCCGCCCTGCACTGCCCATGGGGTGGGTGGGGGCCGGGGCCCTTCTCTCCAGCCCCCTGTGCTTGCATGCTTTCAGATGTGCCCCCCATCTCCTCCCAGTGGGGGGTCCAGTCCCCAGGAGATTAAGAGAAAGGAAGCCAGAAAAGGAGGTTAGGAGATGACCTGGGGCTTGCCCACGGGGCATTGGTGGCCTCAGGCAAGGGCTGTGCTCAGCAGACCAGGGCCTGGGGGCGCTCCTGCACCAACTCAGCTGTCCATAGGTCACTGACAATGGGTCCCGACAGTGCCGCCTGTGCCATGGAGGGAGTAAGGTCCACGGGGCCCCCTGTTTGCAGAGGGCCGGTTTGCCGGCCCCCCACAGTGACTCAGGTCCACTGTCCTTCCCAATGGAGGCCACAGTTGGGGGGCATAGGGGCTGAGCGAGGCCTGCAGAAGGGAGACGTGCCCCCAGGTCCCCTTGGGAGGGGAGAGGCTGGAGCAGCACATTAGTCCTTCTGGCATTCCAGCATTTCCCAAGAGCAAGTGTGTGTGCCCCTCCCACCCACCCCACCAGGAGCCCTCAGCCTGGGCTAGGGAGAGAAAGCAGGCGGCACAGCCAGGGAGGGCTGCCTGGAGGAGGGGCTGTGAGCAGTGGACAGGGAGGCTGCAGCATGAGGTTGTAGGGGGAGGAGGGAGTAACCCACCACGGCCCTCCCTGGAAGCACTGCTTGGGGGCTCGTCCAGGCCCCTGAATCAGTGGGAGGGCAGCTCCCCTGGGAGAGGATGTCACATGTGGGAGTCACATGTCCTTGCCGTGATGGGGGGTGTGGGGGGCACAAGGGGGAATCTCCCCTGCTGAGGCTGCTAGCAGGTGGCAGCAAAGGACTGCAGAGGCCACCGGAATCTTCCGTCCCCGTAGTCACCGGCAGGCGCAGGCGCAGTGCAGAGAGCTAGACAGGCCCCCCCCCCCGCCCCCCCCGCAGACCTGCTGTGCTTCCCACCCAGCCGAGAGGATGGGACCCCCAGTGCCCGTGTGCTGCTGAGTGCAGAGGGGCAGGGAGCCCTCCAGAGCGGGCCTGGCCCCGTCCACCAGAGCACGCTGCCTGGTCCCGACCCGTCTCGGCCCCCATGGAGCCTGCAGACACTTCCGGCCTCGTGACTCATGGCAGGGTGACCATTGCCGGCTTCCCCACCCTGGGGGACGGCCTCCACCTGTCAGCCTTCCTAGCAGAAAACCTCAGGCTCAGGGTCGCCAGCCTCCCAGATTGTTCTGGAAGGTGGTGGTGGGGTGGGTGGCTGTGTGGCCAGGTTCTCAACCTCCTCTTCTCTGCCCCTCAAGCTCCCCCGCCTCCAAAGCGTGCTCCGACCACGGCCCTCACCCTGCGCTCCAAGTCCATGACCTCGGAGCTGGAGGAGCTCGGTAAGAGTCGCCCAGCCGGCCCGCCCCAGCCCTGCGCTGTCGCCAGCACCCAGGCGGCCACAGGGCCGGCCTCCGCGAAGCCCCAGCCCGTGCATGGCCCTCTGCTCGCTTGCTTGCCCCTCTTCTGGCCCCCAAGCCCGGGAATGGCGTCAGGAACGCGCCTGCGTGTGGGTGGCTCCCACAGTGGCATCTCCATTGGCATCCTGCCTGCTTTCGGGGGTGTGGCTACAGTGGTGCCTTTTCCTCTTCTTGGTTCATCTAACATTGCTTTGTTTTGAATTTTTGGGCCTCTCACTAGTGGATAAAGGTAAGCTTCCCCACAGTGCTCCCCAAACAGCTCCCCCTGATGTCTAGGGTGCCCCCACCCCGAAGTCCACCTCGCTGGCCGTCCACGCATGGCTCAGACCAGAAAGCTCCCCCGCTGGGGTCTAGTGTAGATAGCAGTGGGGTTGGCAGGCCTGGTGGGCTGCACCCCAGGAATAGGGAGAGACTTTCTTAAAGGGTCTGCAAGGAACAGAGAGGGCTCTGGCCATCGGACCCCGTCGTGTAGCTGGGGAAGTATATGCAGAGCGACGTGCCCCTGGGTCTCGCAGCCCGTGGCGGCTGTTGAAAGAGAATGACTCTGGAGCCGGCGGCGTGAGCCCCCAGGTGCTGATTATGTGTCATGCTGGGGAGTCACCATGGGGCCCAGGGACACCTTTGGAAGGCGGGTGGCTCTGACCCACACCAGAGTGGCGAGTGGGTTGCAGTGCTTGCTCAGTGGAGAGCATGAGGAGGGCCTACTGGGCGGGGAAGGGTGAGCATCTGTGCACTCTGCACGGGGCAGCTGACGTGGGCACCAAAGCAAACACTTTGCCCAAGACCCAACCATCAGCCCAGCTGGCCCAGTGGGTAGAAATCTGAGCGCCCCTCGCTGGTGTTTGACTTGCCATTGCTCCCTCCTGATCCCAGCCTTCAGTGGGAGACCTTTTGGCCCTCCCCTCCCCTCCAAAAATAGTACAGAGTGGCCCCTTCCTCCCTGCAGCCCCTCTGGGAGGGGTCTCATACGCTCCGTGCATGGCGGGTGCGGTGAAGCAGGCTGACGGAACTCCCGGCGAGCACCCTTCAGCTGTCACTGCGCTCTAGGGCTGGAATCTGCGGGTCTGCACTGAGGCCTAGGTCTTCTAGAAAAGAGCACCCCTGCTATGGTGTGGCCCACCCAGAACCAGTAGTTCCCCGCAGGCCCCTTTCCTTCTGGCCCCCTCCTTGACCACATCTTGTCCGTCCAAACAAGACTCATCAGGAAAACCCCACTGTCCCCCGCGCCTGACCCGGCACCCTGTGAGGATGACAATATGAATTACTGTGTGTCCTTCTCTAAAACGAGATGGCACGTGCCACACCGGCTTCTGCAAGGGGCCTGTGGCGCGCCTCCCCCAAGAGGACCAGCCAGCAACTCAGCTTTAAGGGAGGGCTCCAGTGGGTCAGCGCAGACCAAGGGGCCCTGTGCAGGTCCCTGGAGCCCTCGGCGTCCCGAGGGCCCTCTCTCCTGTGCAGGGCCTCGGGCGCCCTTCCTAAAGGCTGCTTTGGCCCGATGCTGAGGGGACGGGGGCTAGCCAGGTTTACCAGCCGGGCAGGTCGGAGAGGGAAGGTCCCCGGTGCCCAGGTTCCCGGGGAAGCCGTAGACAGTGCATCTCGCTCTCCAGACGCCCGCCCGTGTCTGGCCCCTGGTGGGTCAGGCCCCGAGCCCCCCAACCGCAGCGAGGCAGCCCAGCCCAGGCCCTGGGTGAGCACTGCCGTCGCGGGACTCACGCTCCCCTTTCTGTTTGCAAGCCTCCGTCCGGAAGAAGAAGGGTAAGGGGCGAGCCCGTGTCTGTTTCCAGCCCCCGCCCACACACCCTATGGGAGAGGACCCCTGTGTGGCCGTCAGCGTGGCGTCTAGAATGTGCCGTGACTTTGTATTGTCTTCTCCGTGCTCGGGGTCCTGTGGAAGGACCCCAGCTCCACGACATGTCCCATTTCAGTCTGTTCCGTCTGCTTCGCTTCTCCTGTCTGTGGTCCCCCCCAACATGTTCTGCATCCCCACCCGGGTCCCCACCCCCCGAGTTGTGTCCACATCATCATGACTGTGACGCCCTCAGGACCCTCGGGCTGTCACAGCTGGGTCTGCCCTTTCAGGCAGGCAGCCTTACTGAGAGCTCCATCCGTGAGGCCACACGTGGCTGCTGGCCAGGGCACAGGCAAGGGGAGCCCCTGGCAAATGGATGGAGGGCGGGACCCCTGCCCACTGGCTGCCTTTGCTGTGGGCAGGGGCTGCCTGCCTTCAGCTCCCAGAAAGCCCCTTGCTCTCCAGGAGGCCTGCTCTGCACCTGCGGGACAACCCTCCATCAGGGGGAGGGAAGGCTGGGCTATAAGGCCGCGCCTCTCCCTGCCCTCCCTGGGGGTGGGAGGACCAGAGTCGTTGTGCCGCGAGCAGCAGAGACACAAGCCCAGCAGCAGCACCCACACGTGGGCGTTCCTCACGTGGCTGCTGGACACAGCCACCCCGACAGTGAAAAGCAGCGCTGTCCATTCAAGACCACTTTCCCAGGGCGGGAGGGGAGCCTGTCACATGACCTTAGGCACTGCTGCTGAGCCATGACATGGTAGCCGAAACACTGAAATCGGCGGGAGGGCTCTTGGAATCCAGCAAGGCAGTGTCTCGGGAGAGGGCTGCGGGACCTGGAGCACCGAGTCACGAGCGCCCCCTTTCTCCCCGCAACTCTCTCCCCAGGTGCAGGCCAATCCCAGCAGCCTTCCTGTGGAGCAGGCCTGGGCCTACACCTCACCCCCTAGGGGTGGCCCAGGGAACTCCCAGGGGCTTTGCAGGATGGGTCACCGCGTCAGCCATGTGGTAGAGACCCAGGAGACACAAAGTTTCCTGGGATTACACGTCTCTCTGAATTCCACTTCAATCCACGGCCAACCCCCCAGCTGTCGAGAACGCCCCTCTGTCTACCATACTGTCCTGAAGAAGGCACCCACCAGGGGCTCCCAGGAACCCCACAGCCATAACAGAGCTGGCCAAGAAAGTCTGTATCAAGGAGAGCCTCAGAGGCGCCTGTGGCCTGGTCCCCCGCTGGCCCCATCCGCTCCGCCCTCCTCCCCCAGGGGTGCCTCCAGCAGCCAGACACCCCAGACTGTGGCGGAAGACGAGAGGGCAGAAGTCGCAGTCTGTGTGGCCAGTGGGGGCCCAGGACAGAATCCACACTGAGGACAGGCGAGACTCTTGGAGAATGGAGACCCACCTTCCTTTGAACAGTGGAGAAAACTGGATGCAAATTTGAGATTAAATGCCCCCTCCCCATACTCCCTGACCCCAGCTAGAACAGGAGGTGGGTGCATGGGCAAGAAGATCCCAAAGGGCCCAGCAGCCGTGGTGCACCCAGGTCCTGAGGGGGCAGGCAGCGGGACATGCTTACTCACCCAGCATGGGGCTCCAGTGCCCCCTCCTCCAGCCCTCGGCCCCTGCCAGCTCAGAGCCTCACTTCCTCACCATACAGTCGAGGACTGGAGAGTCCCACCTCACAGGGCTGAGAGCATCCAATGGGGTCATGCCAGGCACATTGAAAGTATTCAGTGAACACTCCAGCCCCCGTCGTGCTGTCTCCGCCCGTCTATTCCGGAGGACCGGTCTCACCTCTTAAGAAACGTCCATCACACTCCAGAAAGGCTGGGGAAACAGGAGAAAGCAGGCCTTTATGGATGTGCTGGTTGAATAGCGTCCCCCAGAATTCCTGTCCACCCAGAACCTGTGAATGGGACCTTATTTGGAAATAGGGTCTTTGCAGATGAAATCAAGATGAGGTCCCCCTGGAGCAGGGTGGCCCTGACCCTATGACGGGTGTCCTAACAAAAGAAAGGAGAGGGAGAGACACACACACAGAGGAGGAGGGCACATGAAGACAGAGGCAGAGGCTGGAGGGACGCAGCCACAGCTCAGGGACGCCTGGAGCCCCCAAAGCTGGAAGAGGCAGGAAGGACCCTCCCCTAGAGCTCCCGGAGGGAGCGTGGCCCTGACGACACTTTCATTTCAGACTTCTGGTCTCCAGACTGTGAGAGAATCTATTTCTGTTGTTTTAAACCACCCAGTTTGTGATCCTTTGTCACAGCAGCTCTAGGAAACTGACATGCAGTTAAACAGCCTCACATCCCAGCTCAACCCCTAGGAGCCACCTCCTGCTGAGTGGCTGCGGGCAGGTGACCAAGATCCCTGAGTTCTCATTTCCTCGCCTCTAAAACCCCTTTGTTTAGTCCTCGAGTGTTTCCTGAGGACCTGCTCTCGTCCCCAGACACCGTGCTCACAGGCCCGAGGGTGAACGGGACCCCCACGAGAGCCACATGGCCCCGGCAGCTCTATGCGGAAGCCAGGCCAGGGGTAGTGCCACTGGTTTGACCCTGGCTTCCAGGCCTGCGGGCACCTCTGGCTGCACCCATAGCCCCAACCCTTGGAGACTCGTCAGAGCCCGCAGCCCAGGAGCAGTCTGCCGGGTGGAAGCGCCGGCCCCCACTCCTTCCCTGCCGCCTGCCAGATTCAGCAAGAGCTGGGCCAGCGGCCACAGCTGCAGCTTCCACGGGTGCAGCTTGTCTGCACCATCTGCTGCTGCTCGTGTTTCTGTCTTCCCCCTGGAAGCTGTGTGGTGCAGGAAATGCTGCTCCGTGCCCTCGCACCCCGAAAGACGGTGTGGGTGGCCCTGCCCCTCCAGAGAGGGTGGCAGAATGACTAGTTCAAGGGCACAAGGGAGAGAACAATGACCGAGGAGGGACAGGATTCCTGGATGTCTCGGAGATTGGGAAGCATTTCATGAAGCTGAAGAATGTGCGCATCTCCATCCTGGCCTTGCCGGACGCTTCCAGAGCATCTGGGATGCTCTCCCCAGGGTTCCGAGGAGCAGATGGGGCCCTGGCTCCGGGGCTCAGGGTCGGCCGCAGTACGGCCTTGCATGTGGTGACAGGCAGAGGGGGCACAGAACATGAGAGCCAGGGCCTCTGCGACGGGCATGCAATTTCCACCTGGGGGGGAGGGAAGTGCAGCCACAGGCTCCCTCTCAGCCATGTGTGCCCGTGTTGTCCCAGGCCTCGGCTTCCTCACTCACAACAGCTGTTGGGGTGGTTGCCACAATTTGGTGCCTCCGTCTTGCAAAGCCAGCGGATTTCTCCAGCAGGAGGGTGTGGGGCATCCTAGGTGACTGTGTTGAAGTCTGCCTGTGGTCAAGGGTGAGCTCACGGGCTGGGGGCTCTGGCGATGGGCAGGACACCAGCCCTCCTGTCGTCCCTGCTCTGGTTCCCAAGAGATCCGTGGCTGCGTGCGACCTGACCGTGCTTGACAAATCCACCACCTCCCCTCCCCGAGCACACTCTTCCCCATGCCAGGAAGTTTTCGGTTTATGGACGGTGCGCACCACCTCTGGCTTCTCAGTGGACCAGACATTTGCTTTGAAAATTATAATACGTGGTTACTTCTGGAGCATTTTCATCAACTCATTACTAGATTGTTTTTTAAGCTTTGACTGTTTTCACGTCTGTCTGCAAGATGGTTTTCAGTCACAGAGGACTTCATTTGAAGACCGCAGGCAGCTGGAGTCACTAACCCTCTTCACCCGGAGTCCTTGAATAAAGACCCAATCTCAGGCTCTTATAAATGAAGCATAACAATCCTCATGAGCCCAGAATGAGAAGCAGGCACTCACAGTCTCACAGCTTTTCTTAAAAGCCTTCATGTTCCAGTAAACAAACCCTCAAAGCCGGGGGCTGAGCAGAGTCGGGCCACAGGCTCCCTGTGGGACAAGAGGTTCCCTCTTCGCATCTGAATAGCACAGACCACGCCAAGTAGCTCTCGGTGGAAAGGAATAGCCCCCCCATGACCTCCCACAGACCAAGTTGCTCTCCTGTGTTCTGGTTCAAAAGAACATTCAGGTGGGATGGAAGCGGGAGGCAAAGGTTTGAAAGAAAGACAAGGATGTGCACGTCGGAGGTAGCCACGGCTCCAGGGCATCTTCAGGGACACCCCAGACCTGTCCCACACCGTACAGCCTGACTGTGGTGTGGACGGTGCCCGACTTTAGGCACCACTCGCCCTGATTCCCAGTTGGCGGGACCAGGCAGACCTTTCTGATGGTAACCTGAGATTTCCATTGCCCACCAGGGCCAGGCACCCCTGGCCCAAGGGTGGGCACGGGGGCTGCGTGACCCCAACTCAGGCCCAAGCTCCCACCTGGTCCCAGATTTCCACCTGCAGGACCCTAAGCATCTCAGACCTTCAGTTGTTATCTCTGCAAAATGAGAATAGCCCTTCCCCTACAGCCAGGTTTGTTAGGATGAGAAATGGGATGAAGGCACTTAGCATTTCCACTGGGATTGAGTCTGTTGTTAGTAACCATGGTGCCTTTGCCTTACCTGGGCACACTCATCATTCGAGGCATGTTTTCGGGGTGCCTGCCACATGCCCTGGAGTCCTGAGATCACAGTCTGCTGCCTGCATATTCCGGGCGTGTGACGATTCCAGAGGTATTTGGGGCTGCCAGCCAACAGACCCTCTGTGTGCTGGGGGCGGGGGTGAAGCAGCCCCATCAGCTGAGTGGGGCTAATATCAAAGAAGCAGACCTGTGGGGCCAGCTAGAAACAGGACCCTCTTGAAGATCCGGCTTGGACCTGCAGGTCACTCTTGGCCTTCCAAGGAGGTCAACCAAGCGTCACCTGAGCCACTGCTCTGAGAGAACTTGAGCCATGTGGCAGTCCAGGGGAGCGAGGCCCAGCCGCTGGGGCCAGGGCAACCTGCACAGAAGGAAGCGAAATCCCAACCAGGGCAGGGTTCCCGGCCGAGATCTGAGAGGGGAAGGCTTCTCGGAGGAGGCAAACTGCTGGGATCAGGGGGTGTGTACAGCACAGCGGTGGGGCAAAGGGAAGGAGGTGAGGAGAGAAAGGAGAACTGGGCAGAAGTGGTCCAGCGGGAGGAGCAGGCCTTGAACGCAGGTGAGGTCGGGACTTCAGTGGGCAGTGATGAGGAAAGTGGGGGCTGGGGACACAGTGACCGTAGCTGGGGGCGTCCCCGCTGCCGAGTGACACCAGAGAGGTGGGTGTTTCTGACCAATTCCCCGAGGAGCCAATGCTTACCAAGGTCCCCATCATCCATGGGTGGAAGGAAACACCCCCGAGGAGGAGGCACGCAGCCAGGAGAGCTGGGGTCCCAGGACCACAGGAGAGGCTGCCGAGAGGGAGGGAGAGGTCTGAAGGAGCACTGGAGGAGGGTAGGAGGGCTTCCAGCCACTGCTGCTGTCTGGGCTCCTCAGCCCTTGGCTGGCAGGTGGACAGGGACAATGAATGGTCCAGAGCCAGGGTGGCTGGCGTTTCCCATAAAGGGTCAGATAATGTTTTCGGCCTTGCGGGCTGTATGTTCTCTGTTGCACATTCTTTTCCTCCTTCCTTTCAGAACCCCTTAGAAGTGTAAAACCGTCCTTAGGTCACGGGCAGAACGAGAACACACGTGGCCAGGATTTGGCCCGAGGGCCGTAGTTTGCTGACCCTGGTCTAGGACAGGGCTCCGGAGCCAGGTGCCTTGTCAGGCATTAACCAGGACAGCATCTCTGCGGAGGATGCCAGGCCATATCTGTTGGCACTCTTTGAGGTTGTGGTGGGCGCCTGGTCGGGCCCCCTGCCCCGGCACCACCCCCCCGAAGCTCCCCTTGTTGGGGCCCTCGCCTGGGTGACTCTGAGGGTGTCGTGGCTCTGGGGTGGGTCCTCTTGGGTAGCCGCCGTTACAAGTGGACGCCGCAGTGTCCTGAAGAACAACTTGGAGCAGTGCACCGGCCTCACCCGGAGCTCCCGTCTGCTCTCCAACTCTCACGCCGGCCTCGAAGCTCAGAGTCTGGGCGAGACCCCAGAGGCCTGGGCCTTTTTCATGGTACGAGCTTCATGGGGAGTCACCAGACTCCAGAAGGGGTTGGGGTCGCCTAGGAGAAGGCCTCAGACTCATGGACAGAATGTTCTGGATGGCCTGGGGGGCACGGGGAGTGCTGTGTCTCACAGGGTCCAAAATGGGAATTCCCACCAGGCACCCCTCACACTGGCTTCCTGCTAGCTGGGGGGCCCTTGCTGGATGGGTGGCTGGGGGCCAGCAGGGGCCCGAGGGCCCAGCCCCACCGAGGACGCTTGTTCTGTAGGTCTCGGCGAACCGAGGTCCTGAACAGCCGCGGTGCCTGAACTCAGACATCCCTCAGATAAAGCTAGGGCATGGGGGTAATTCTAGGATGGGCTTCAGTTTTCAAGTTTCAAAAAAACTTTCTAATGTTTTAAATTTTAATTTTTTAAGCTTTTTTTTATTTCAAAGGATCACTAATAACTAACCCTTGGCTTTCTTTCTCACAAAGAAACGAGAATATTCTACTATTGGGAGAAAACGGGGACTCCCTCACAGCACGGGCTCCTGAGCTGGCGGGCTGCATCCCTCCCGCCTCCTTCATGCCCAGTCTGCCCAGTGGCCTCCAGCCTCGGGCACTGGGTCCTTGGGCCTTGGCCACTGCATTTGGTTACAAAGGAACCACACCTCTCAGCTCTTAAAAAGAAAAAAATTCCAAAACTTAAGGTTCCGTTCACCCCACTGAGAATAAATCCCAGGGTGAGAAGGAAGTGACCCGCGGAAGTAGCGGCTCTTCAGGAGAGACAGGGCTCCCGGGGGCCGAGGCTGTGTTGCTGAGGGTCGTCTCCCGTCCTGTCCACGTGCCCCCTCCTGGGGTGAGGTTTGTGGAAGGGACGGTGTCCGTGAGGATGCATGTGGCAGAGGGAAGCATGCGTGCTCCGCACCACATGACAACGCCTGCTTGCACGATTTCGGAGGCCGGAGCAGTTAAATGCCTTGTTAAAATGCAGAGGCACTTTGGCATTTTTCTAACTGAGACCCGTGCCCCTGTGTTTCAGGGGCTTCGGTCACTGACACCTGTTCCGATCATTGTGTTCACATTGCAGATAAGCCGGACGAGATAGTCCCGGCCGCCAAGCCATCCCGAACTGCAGAGAACGTGGCCGTGGAGTCCAGGGTGGCCACCATCAAGCAGCGGCCCACCAGCCGGTGCTTCCCATCTGTCTCTGACGTGAACGTGAGTGGCGTGCCCTGGGGACCCGAGGGCAGCGGGAGGGCCTCTCAGCGTCGCTCCTGCAGTGGCAGGGCCCAGCATGAGCTGAGATGGCCTCCTTGCAGTTGTGGGTCACGCTTCCCACGTGTCCAGACACGGAGCCCAAGTCCAAGTGGCCACGGGACAGGCACTGTGGTCCAGTGGGGACAGACCAGAGCCTCGCCGCTCACTCACCGCGTGACTTGAGCTCAGTCACACGCTCTCCCAACCCCCTAGTCTCAGGGGCTAAAAGGGCCTGAGAGTGGTATTCAGACAGAAGGATCTTCACTCCTAGTCTACCCAGAGCACAGAAACCCTCTGGGGTGAAGGAGGCCGTACTTCCAACCTCAAATGCAGTGGTCCCCCATGGGACCCCACAAGTGGAGGGCACACCTCCCTGAGATCTCAGGCCACTGCTGTTCTCAGGGGCTGGGAGCTCCGTGAAGGCTCAGGCTTCATGGACTTTGATCGATGCGCCAGGTGCCCAGTTCAGAGCCGCTGCCCTTGCCGCGCCCATCCTCCCTGGGCGGCTGGCAGAAACCACAGGCTCCAGGGGGCTGGGCAGAGGCGCTCGGTTTTTCCCGGGCCGGGCACATCCTGGGCAGGCTGCTTCTCACTGTTCTCCTGACTCAGCTGTTGGCACCCCATCTGCGTGCCTGGTGCCGGATTCGAGTACTACCTGTTACAAATACTTAGTATTTTCTCTCCACCTCAAACTGACTCACTTTGTTTAACCTAGCCTTTCCTTACACAGCAGTACCCAGAAGTATCACCAATTTAACATGATCGTTTTGTGCAGTACACATTCAAACAAACACAATTGGTAACAATTACAATTCAAATGTTCACCCTGCCCCTCCTCCCACCCTCTCTGGATCTCCGAAGGGGCAGCTGCACAAGCTCTCCCGGTGGCGGCCCTCCCGCAGGGTCAGCCCTTCCCTCCAGGCCCTGCCTCCCGGATCCTTTCCCCCGGCTGCACCCCGGGCCCCACCTTGTCCCAGACACTCTCCAAGCTCAGCCTCAGGCTACAGAGGAGAGAGCCAGGCAGAGGCCCAGATCCGTGCGAGACTGTGTCTCGTAGGAGACAGTCTGGGGGCACGAGTACCAGATATAAGAGCTTGCACACGTGTTTCCATCAGGCTCTGCATCTGATATTTTTCCTGAGTCGCCCTCCAATGCCAAGGGATGGGGCGGCCAGCAACCTCAGTTTTACAGTCAAGGAAGCAGCAGGTCAGGCGGAGACTTCACAGGGGATCTATTTCCAAAGTCAGGGAGGTAAGCTGTAGGCTCCTCCCGGGCCAGGCCGGGGAGGGAAGACCAGAGCTGGACTGGGTCTTGGTGCTCCAGGGTGGTCCTGCAGCTCGCTCACTCACAGCTGTACCCGGCTCTCCGTGCACCATTCTGTGGCCGGTGTTGTTAGCCCACTTTGTGCAGGAAGAAAATGGAGGCTCCTGCTCAAGGACGTGGCCAGGTCGCGGTATTCTCTTTCCTACAGCACACCTGTCCTGGCCACTCTCCCAGAGACTCGTCTGTCAGCCAGTCGGTGAATGATGTCAGGCAGACCACGGCTCCCCCAAGCCCGGCACGCTGGCATTGAGGGCGGGGGCTAAGTGGGAAGGGCAGACAGGGCCCTTTCTGGGTCTTCGATGCTGGTGTGTCCCGTCAGCCTCAGCTGGACACTTAGGTGCTCCCGGAAGCAGCCCGGGAAGCCACATGAAGGGCACCCGCTGCCCGGGGCTTCCGTGTCACCCTCTGGGCCTGTCGCCATGCGTGGGGCTGGTCCAGGCATGGCTCACCCCAGGCTCTCTGGTTTGCAGTCTGTGTATGAACGCCAGGGGATTGCCGTGATGACGCCCACTGTTCCTGGGAGCCCGAAAGGCCCGTTTCTGGGCCTCCCTCGAGGTACGATGCGAAGGCAGAAATCAATAGGTAAGAAGCGTGGCCCACATCCAAAGAGGTTGCCCCTTGGCTCTCAGAGCAGCCCCCAGAGACCCGCAGCAGCGCTGCCCACTGGGGCCTGCCTAGCGACCCCCAGGCCTACCCACCAGAGGGCGGGCACCTGGCCAACCCACCAGGGAGCCCTTTGAAACTTTTCCACCCACTGGACTCATGACCCAGGGTGGCTTCTCCAATCTTGCAAGCCAGGTTGTGTGTGATAACACCAGTAGGGTGAGGGGGCCATGCCAGGAGGGAGGCGGAGGGTGGGCACGGGTGATCCAAGAAGCCTCCTCCCCCATCCTGCGCAGGTTGGAGGGGGCAGGTGGAGTGGGTCCTATGTTCACTACGGTCCCCGTGGTCTCTGCGTAGACTGGCCACTACCATGTTTTGTAGGATGAGCTCAATGGACATAGTTCTTAGGGTGGTTGGGTCATGTTCTTGAATTCTAATAAAATCAGGTACTGTGTGTTTGTAGAAAACTGCTTACCTTTCTTGTTAATATCACGATTCCCACTGATTGTTCCAGGCGAGGTAGACGTGGCCCTTTCAGACAGTCCCTTTGTGAGATAACCTGGCACTGTCTTGACCATGTAAAGTCTCAGAGAAGCTAAGGCCACTGCTCGGCACCAGTGGACCCTTGCCGTTTAAAGAGGAGCGTGTGCAGCCGCCACCTCGGGCAGCCCCAGCCCCACCCTTGGGGACACTGCTTGGTGTGCTCTCGACACGCCTCCTGGCGGTGCTGTCTGGAGGCGTGACCGGTCTGTCGCTAGTTTGAGGTGGATTACGGTAGGCAGCGACTGCGCGATAAGTGATGGTGGAGGTGGCGTCTGCTGTCCCCAAAACTCACCCTCCCCGGGAGCTCAGGCCACCGCAGAGTCGCGCCTACGCCGTGTTGTGTCACTGGCTCTGTAACTGGTTAATAACAATTGATTTCCTCCTGTCAGACAGCAGAATCTTTCTATCAGGTTAGTGAACCTTACGGTTTGGATCTGTAATATGAATGTGACCCAGTTGACTCCATAAGGTGTATTCTTAAATTATTACTCCTTGGGAATGCAATCGTCAGGCAACCAACAGGTAGCAAATGCTCAATGGAGGAGGCCTGTAGTAACCGATCTTTGTGATGCCAAAATACCCTCCCACAAGGAGTATGCTCAATTTGGAATACCCTTATCGAACGGAAGTTTTCATTGGAATAAATGATTGTAGTTTGTCCTAGGAGTTTTTTGATTTGAAGTAGCTCATTCTGTTCCCGCTGCATGCCCCTGACGTGAGACCTAGTACTTTCTGTCTGTCGGCGTCTGTGTCTGTGTTTGCTTCCCGTCTCCTAGAGTGCATTCTGTTGATGTTTTTATATCTTGGTCGGAAAGAGAGCCTGAAAGTCTCACCCAGTCGACACACACACAGAACTCAGGCCCGATGAGGCTGGCACGCCCACCGTCCCCACTGCCGTCCCTCTCAGCACATTCCCTCACATCCAGCATCCACCTCTTTCATTAGATCAAGGCCTGGAACACAACTTGACTCAGTGCTGAGTCAGCTGACCTTTCACTCTGGTTATTCGTGATTGTGGTAAACTGCTGAACCCCTCAGCCCAGCCCAGAGGGCCATAGATAGAACCAGTTCTAGAGCTTCTGGGAGGATCCAGAAGGGGCTTATTGAGGCTGAGTGTTTGCTCAGGATCCTGCTCCAGGCTTGGATTGGGGTCCACACAGCCATCCTCCTGAGGGCCTGGGGAGCTCCAATGTCCTCAAGCCCTCGGGTGACCCAGAGAAGTCAGGCAACAAAACAGGTTTCTGTCACATGGGCAAGACCATCCCAGGCTCACAACACTGCAGGGCCACCAGCAGGCCAGTGGCTCTGCTGAAGGGTGGCAGGCCTCCCTGCACCCCTGGGCAGGACGATGGCACTCCCTGCCCCCTGAACAGTGGCATCGTCCATGTCACATCAGCCAACACAGCAGCTCCCTCAACCTGTATGCCTCGTGCCCTCGTTTCAGATGGGCAGCATCACAGCCTCAGCCCCTAGACCCTAAAATCACCCCCTGGGGGCCCCGGCCAGGCCTGAGAGGATGGAAGCCTCCTGATCCAGTCTAACCCCTACCCCCAACACACGCTCACACATGTCTACATGTACACACATGCACACACGCAGCCCCAAGGAAGTCAGGTGTCCGGTGCTTGGCTGGCAGAGCAACACAGCTCATTGTCCGGGGCCCTCACACATCCCTCACGCCCGCTGCTCTGGGCCACAAGCAGAACATCTCAACAGCACGCACTCAGTGCATCCCCAGTGCCTTTCTCTTCTTTTCTTTCTTTCTTTTTTTTGGCTCAGAATGGGCCACATAACCCCTTGGCATCGTGGCTTGTGCTGTGTTCCGTGAACAAGTGCGCATCGTGATTCTTTGTGAGTTTGCAGAGATGTAGTGTATCACACAATCCTAGGAGCTTAGTGGGCTGTATGTTATTGTCGTGATTTAAAACTAAACCTGCCTTCTACTTGTAGGAATAACGGAGGAAGAGCGACAGTTTCTGGCCCCTCCGATGCTGAAGTTCACCAGAAGCCTGTCCATGCCGGACACCTCAGAGGACATCCCCCCCCCACCGCAGTCCGTGCCCCCGTCTCCACCACCACCATCCCCCACCGCCTACAACTGTCCCAAGTCCCCAACTCCAAGAGTCTATGGGACGATTAAGCCCGCGTTCAATCAGAACTCCGCTGCCAAGGTGTCGGCAGCAGCCCGCTCTGACACGGTGGCCACCATGATGAGGGAGAAGGGGATGTACTACAGGAGGGAGCTGGACCGCTACTCCCTGGACTCCGAGGACCTCTACAGCCGCAGCGCCGCCCCCCAGCCCAACTTCCGCAACAAGCGGGGCCAGATGCCCGAAAACCCGTACTCAGAAGTTGGCAAGATTGCCAGCAAAGCCGTCTACGTGCCCGCCAAGCCCGCCCGGCGGAAGGGCATGCTGGTGAAGCAGTCCAACGTGGAGGACAGCCCCGAGAAGACGTGCTCCATCCCCATCCCGACCATCATTGTCAAGGAGCCCTCCACCAGCAGCAGCGGAAAGAGCAGCCAGGGCAGCAGCATGGAGATCGACCCCCAGCCCTCGGAGCAGCCGGGCCAGCTGCGGCCCGACGACAGCCTGACTGTCAGCAGCCCCTTCGCCGCCGCCATCGCCGGGGCCGTCCGAGACCGGGAGAAGAGGCTGGAAGCCAGGAGGAACTCCCCGGCCTTCCTCTCCACAGACCTGGGGGACGAAGACGTGGGTCTGGGGCTGCCTGCCCCCCGGCTGCTGCCCTCCAACTTCCCCGAGGAGGGCGGGTTCGGCGAGGAGGATGGCGTTGAGCAGCTGTCGTCGCCCACGTCAGGGGCAGCGCCCAGGGAGCCCGAGAACGATTTCGTGGGTGTCGTTGAGGCCGGAGCTCAGGGTGAAGCCGGCAGGCCACTGAATTCCACGTCCAAAGCCAAGGGGCCTGAGAGCAGCCCTGTGGTGCCCCCCAAGAGCAGCAACGCGGCCAGCCCTGAGAATTACGTCCACCCCCTCACAGGGAGGCTGCTGGACCCCAGTTCCCCGCTGGCCCTGGCACTTTCCGCGAGGGACCGAGCCATGAAGGAGTCCCAGCAGGGCCCCAAGGGGGAGGCCCCCAAGGCCGACCTCAACAAACCTCTCTACATCGATACCAAAATGCGGCCCAGTGTAGAAGCGGGCTTCCCTCCGGTCACCAGACAGAACACACGGGGGCCCCTGAGGCGGCAGGAGACCGAGAACAAGTATGAGACTGAGCTGGGCAAGGACCGGAAGGGCGACGACAAGAAGAACATGCTGATCGACATCGTGGACACGTCCCAGCAGAAGTCGGCCGGCCTGCTGATGGTCCACACCGTGGACGCTGCCCAGTCGGACAACTTCCTGGAGGAGGAGGACGAGAAGGCTGACATGGAGACGGAGCCCGATAACGCACCCACCGAGGTGCCAGCAGGCGTCCCTGAAACCACAGGTGCTTTACAGACCTCCGCCGGCCCCGAGCCCGCCGCCGCTGCGCCCAGCAGGACCATCGTGGCAGCGGGCTCCATGGAGGAGGCGGTGATTTTGCCATTCCGCATCCCCCCGCCCCCTCTGGCATCCGTGGACCTGGATGAGGATTTTATTTTTACAGAGCCATTGCCTCCTCCCCTGGAATTTGCAAATAGTTTTGATATCCCCGATGACCGCGTTGCTTCTGTCCCCGCTCTCACAGACTTGGTCAAGCAGAAAAAAAACGATGCCTCCCAGCCCCCTTTGTTGAACTCCAGCCAACCAACCAACTCTGCAGACAGCAAGAAGCCGGCCGGTCTTTCAAACTGTCTGCCTGCCTCATTCCTGCCACCCCCCGAAAGCTTTGACACTGTCACGGACTCTGGGATCGAGGAGGTGGACAGCCGGAGCAGCAGCGACCACCATCTCGAGACGACCAGCACCATCTCCACAGTGTCCAGCATCTCCACCCTGTCCTCTGAAGGTGGGGAGAACGTGGACACCTGCACAGTCTATGCAGATGGGCAAGCATTTATGGTTGACAAACCCCCAGTACCTCCTAAGCCAAAAATGAAGCCCGTAATTCACAAAAGCAATGCACTTTATCAAGATGCGCTCGTGGAAGAGGATGTGGATAGCTTTGTTATCCCCCTGCCAGCCCCCCCACCGCCACCAGGCGGTGCCCAGCCCGGGACAACCAAGGTTATCCAGCCAAGGACCTCCAAGTTGTGGGGTGATGTCTCGGAGGTGAAAAGCCCGATTCTCTCAGGCCCAAAGGCGAACGTGATTAGTGAATTGAACTCAATCCTGCAGCAAATGAACCGAGAGAAATCAGCAAAGCCAGGGGAAGGATTGGATTTGCCAACGGGAACCAAGCCTGCCAGCCTCGCTCCAAGGTAAGTCCCTCAGTTGGCTTAGACGCAGACCGCTCCCTGCCGGGCTTTCCTCTGTCTCGTCCAGCCAGCGCCAACCGGGAGGTGCCCTGCAGGAGCAACCCGAGCGGAGTGAAGAGGGGATTCGGAAAGCCTTGGTGCTGGCTGCATCACTGCGCTTCTCCTTCTTGTTCTCCGGGCCTCCGTCCGGTGCAGCAGAGTAGAGATCACCTCCGTCTGGCAGGACAGGAGTCAAGACTTGCAGTACACGGCAGCCGCCCAGAGCCACCCTGCCTCGGCTTCCAAAGAGCAGCTTTGCCCTCTCCTTCCTGGTCCTCCAGATCTTTGCCAGACCCCCCCAAAAGGCCATTCAAGAGCCTTGCGGAAGCCAAAACCAAGCTCCGCCGAGCTGGTTACAAGAGAGTAGCCATGCCAACCGGGGGTGTGACTGGGTGGGTGGCGTGCGCGGGTGTGTGATGAAGTGTGTGTGGGTTCTTCTCCCCTCCTCCCATCACTCACTGGTTTGAGGGCTGGGGAGGTGCTGGGTTGTGGCTTCACTAGTGAATTAGAGTGAAATGCGATCCCCTGCCAGCCCATCCTACCCCAGCGGGCAGACATCAGGGAAGAAAATCAGCCAGTCTTCCCTGGGTCAGCCATTCCCAGCGTCATGCAGTGTGAGTGATTGCCATTGGAACTAGGGTAGAGCATGAGGGGTCTAAACGCAGCCCGCAGGCTCTGTGAAGGCACGCAGTGCTCTAGCACAGGCCCCTCTGCTGTCTGCCCGCGGATCTCGGATGGTTCTCCGCCATTCCTCAAGGTTCTCGGTTTTCTTGCCCGTGACGCGGGACACGCACGGGCGTGCTGTTCCCCGGGTGGCAGTGTTCTCCAGCTTTTCCCGCTGATGTTTACTGCCAGGCTTCATCATTTTGACTAATGAAGTCTCTCTTCATGCTCCTGCTGGGCAGGCATTTGCGTCAGACATCTAAGTCCATTAATCAGCGATATCACACTACGGTGGAGTCCTGAAATGCGGGCCGAGAGCCACAGTTTTCCCAGCTATCTTTCAGTGTGGATGTAAATAAATTACTTGGATGGCTCCCATTACTCCTCAGAGGAATATTGATTGGCCAGCCTTGGTAGAGAGGCATGTTGACACTGCTGTCTTTTAATGGGGCACCCACCAACAACTGGGACATTCAAATAGAACCTCCAGTTGAAGAGAAAGCCTTTAAAAATTCCCCGTTTCTGGTGGACGTATGTACACACATACCTACAAATATTATATACTTGCCAATCTCAAGGAAGTCTTAAAAACTGCCTAGTTTTGCCCTTTCTCATTATATAATAATACAGTTCTTTAGTTGCTACGTTATGTGAAAGTACATCGATGAAGATGCTTTATCTTAGTGTTTCACATTTTACAAAACGCTTTCACATGGGTGAATAATCTTTATGAGACAACTGGGAGCCAAGAGCATGTATTAATTATACCCATTTTTCAGAAGGGGAAATGGAGGCCCAGAGAGGACAAGTGGCTTGTCCACGTGCGAGCCAGCAGGAGGTAGAGCCAGGCTGAGGCTCAGGTTTTCTGACTGGCGCCTCCCTTTGTTAGCAATGTGTGAAGGTCGGAAGATGCTGAAGGGGAGTGATGCTAGGGCCGCTCAGGCCGGGGGCAGCCTGCACCGAGCTGTGCTCCCCTGAGCACTCCCACCTGGAGTGGGGGTTCTAGGGTGCCTCTCTGAACAGCATCTCAATTGTTCACCACTTCTAATCATTTCCCCACTAGATGGGCTCCTGGGGGCTCTGAGGAGAGTGGGTCTCCAAGTTGCATGTGTCTCCAGGGTCTCCCTGCTCTGCATTTCCCTAGGTGGGAGGGGCCTCAGAGCAGACGTCACCTGGCAGCATCCTGCTGGATTTCTGGAGAGCAGCTGCAGGACCACCTCCAGCCAATGCTGGGTTGCCAAGAACAGCCACCTCCGGTCTGTTCTGTTATTTATAACCCAATGCACTTACAGCAAGAACGTTGGCTGACATCTATTAAGTACTCACCAGATGCTGGGCATCATGCTGTGCTCCCTGGGCACCCCCGAGGCTGGCAGGACTATAATTATTCCCACTGTGCAGATGAGCAAAGCGAAGGTCAGAAAGTAAGCACTTGGCCAAGGGTACTCAGCCTAAAGGCACAGAATCTCCAACCCCGGGAGCTGTCTCATGGTTTGACTCCTGACATCTTGCTGGACCCCAGGATCAGCCTGGAAGGCCGGGGCAACTATCTAACTTAACATCCGCAGGGCTGAGTTCCTGAGGGCAGGGCTGTTCTCAGGCCTTCGGACTCACCTTGAGCCCCGCTGAATGCCCGGAGGTCTCTTCTTGGGTTACCAGTGGCTGCTAATAGGCAAGGTTAGTCACATCAGGTGCTCACCAGCTCGGCTGAGGCACCCAGAAGCTGTCTCTCGTTCTTCCCGGCTCATGGCCAAGGGTGACACTGAGTTGGACTGGGAATAGGATGGCCCTGAGGCCAAAGGACAAAGAGGAAGGTCACTGACTTTAGGCACTGCACTGAGCCCTCAACTGGCTTCCCTGGTTCTGATCTCACAGCCTCACCAGGCAAAGCCCTCAGTGGACATGAGCTGCAGCCACGAGGCATGCAGACTAGGGAAAGTCGGGGGGACGGCTACTGGGCAGAGTCCTGAGGGTGTGACAAAGATTGCCATCAGGCCCTGGGTGCTTGTGTCTTTCTTAGGAACTGGCAGCACTCACCCACACTTTTTGGCTCACACAGATAACCTCCGGGCATGCCTCGCCTTTGCTGGTCTTGCCTCCACTGATAGGCCTGAGTATGTCCCCATTCACAGAATACTCCCAACCAGGGCTCGCCTGCCTGGGCTGCGCACCACTACTCTTAAAATTAACAGCTTAAATTAAGAGCATCTAAAAATTAAGAGCTGGGAATGGCCCTGGGCAAAATGAGGCATGAAATTGGAAGAAGGGAATTCCTACTGAGGAAAAAGAAATGAGTTTTCCAAGGGAAAACTGAAAACCAGCCTTGCTCTTTGAAATGACAGACAAGCAACAGTGCAAAACCCCCATTTCCACAGAAACAAGTTTTGATCACTCAAGAAAAGGGCATTTTCTCGAGTTACTCCACAATTGTTTGAGTACGAAGTGGGACTTGCCCCTCAGCTGACTCACCCCTTTCAAATGACTTTGGCTCTTTGGTCACAGCTCTGAGGTGAGACTACTTTCACTTCTTGCTGGAACCCAGGAGGGGACCAGGGAAGAAGAGGAAGTGTGTCACTAGATCCTTGCTCACTGGGGACATTTGATTTAACTTGAGCCATGAATGAGTCTGCTGATCAGGGATGACATGGGATTTGGAGACGTCTGGATTACAGTTCTGTTGGTGAAAAGATGACCGACTAGTTAGTACATACTGTTAGAGGCATCTGCTCAGGCCGGGTCTGAAAACACCCTGCTAAGAATGGAGCAGTCAGGCAGCTCTGGGAAAAGAGCTCCTCTGGCTGCCGGGCCTGACTTTCCTGGGAAGTGACCTCATCTTTGAAAAGAGCATCAAACTAGATAAAGTGAAGGGGCTGCGGTCTGAGGGGAGTGGGAGTCTCTGAAGAGTCGGCTGCTTCTCCTACTCGGGAGGACCCTGAAGCTAACCCGGGGCCCCCCAGCCCATGGGCGCTGCTGGCTGGAGGCCCCCAGCCCAGCAGCCTGGCGCTCTGCAGGCCCCAGCCCCTCCCCGGGAAGCTCAGAGCCGAGAGGATGACTGTCGATACCAGCGACAGCACCGTGGCTGCCACATGAGAACAGGCATGTGTGAAAGCATTATCAGCAACTGCAGGAATGTCCTTCACTTGCTCGGTGTGTTCTACCTTTCAAAGCCCTTCAGTAATCTATGACGAGTTCATGAGTTCACAGTCGGGAGTTCCTGAGCTGCTGCACTGTAGGAGCCCAGGACCCGGCCAGAGGGAGGACAGCAACAAGAGGGATGCACAACCGAGGAAGCCTGGGCCCAAGGAAGCGGGGCAGCAGACTCAGTCATTAATCGTGCACTTGGCAAACAGTTATTGATTACCTCTTACGTGCCCGGCACCGTGCTGAGCCCCAGGATTTCTCACTGAACCAGAAAACATTCAAGGTCTCTCCTCCCGTGGGGCGCCACATTCTCCTGGGGAAAATGGACAGTACATAATAAACGAGACACACCCAAAGTGTGCCTCGTGCTGCAGAGGAAGGAAGATGTGCTCACCAGTCAGAGTGACTATGTGCAGGAAGGAGGTGAGACTCCTTAAGGAAGTGACATTGATTGGAACGACCTGAAATACAAAAAGGAGCCAGTTGTGCGGAAAACCAGGAGCGGAGCATCCCAAGCACGGGACAGCGAGCACAAAGCCCAGAGGCCAGAGGTGCTTTCCGTGCTAAAGGAGCTGAGGCCCTGTGAGGGGAGGGCTGGCAGAGGCCGGGTCTCGGAGGGTCTCTCAGGCCATGGGGAAGAGCTGGACTGCGTTCTGAGAGATGGCAGCCATCGGAGGGCTTAAGCAAAGGGTGGGCATGACCTGACTGTACCCAGGTTTCGTGAAGATTACCCAGCAACTGTTGGGTCAGGTGGATGACACATGCCACAGGGAGGCCCGTCAGCACTTCCATGAAGTGGGAGGTCACTTTCCCTCCCTGGCTGGTGGGGGGACAGAGCAGGGAGTGTATGCCTGAGGGGACCCTGTGCTTCCATCCAGAGGGCGTGGCATCCGCTGGATCCCTCAGGGTCCCCTCTAGATCACCTAGCTCTTTCTGGTGGGTCCAGGGCAACCGGAGACTGGCCTTCACCTCTCAGAGGCACCGACGGGCTTCAGGGAGGAGGTTCACTGGGTGGAGCTCCAGGTCCCCGAGGCCCCTGAGTGGGGTTCAGGCTGCCCGGAGGTGTGAGCCAGGCCGGTTCTCAGAAAAGTCAGTCGCTCTCAAGCCTCCAGCTGCCCTCACACTGCAGAGAATCGGTGAAGAGCCGGAGGCACCGGCAA